TGCAGGAGAACACCCCCACAGCACTGGGGGCAGACTGTTTCCCCTTGGTCTGCTTAAGACAGGCCCAAACAGGCAACAAATACATGTTCCAAGGCTGTGAAAAGCTACCTTCTCCCCTGCATGAACTCAGTGTTAAATAAATTGCTCATAGACACTGTGGACAATGAAAGCTCATGCCCCTCCACTGTCTGAAGGGACTTAATCTCTGTCAACATATCTCCTCTTTCTGGAGTTAGCTGACTGTTCCCTGGAGCAGTTGTCCAGCCCATAAGAGAATGCCCAAAAGATTAGGCCAGACAGGACCTTTTTTAATCAAGGATGCTATAGAGCAGACACCTTCAACTCATAAATATTGCCATACAAGTACAATTTTTAAGGGCACACAACACCATTTTGGCACACCCACCTCCACATTCCTCTTGGAGAAGACTTCTGCATGGAAATCATCATGCAACTTTGCAAGAAATGCTTCTCCTAGCACTACTTAACACTAACCAAATGTCAGGTCTGGTCTTGTGTATGGTTATCTTGGAAAGGTGGTGGTTTTTGTCACCACACTTGTTTAAAGAGCATTAATTTCCTTCACCTCCATTTCTTAAATGTGTGTATATTCTTCTCTTTGGTCTCCTTTACTTCCTCTAACTGCCCTTATTTCCTGTTGTTTCCCAGAGGCATCAAACAGATGTGGCAGGCAGTTTCACCAGATTAGTATAGTGGGTGTTATATGGCACTACAAGTTTATTTCACAGAATGGCTGAGGTTAGAAGGGACCTCTGGAGGTCACTTTGTCCAACCCTCCTGCTCAAGTAGGGCCACCTGAAGAAGTTGCCCAGGACCATGTCAAGACAACTCCCAAGTGTCTCCAAGATTGGAGACTCCACAGCCAACTCCACAAGTTTATGTGCTTCAGCTGCAGCTATTCATTAGGAGGAGGGAGGAGAAAAAGCATGAATTAGCTGGATCTGAATCACGATGTTGTAATACAGTGTGGAGGTACACACCAGTGGCCAGATTCCGGTTCCTGTATGCTGGGTAGTCTCTGACATAAGAACTATCACCACCCACTTCAGACAATTCCCCCATCTGATCAACCACAAATTATATCTTTTGAAAGTCTGCCTCTGAAATCTCTATGGTTTGCATTTTTTGTTACTCAGGTTAAAAAAAAAAAAAAAAAAAAAAAAAAGAATTTAAGACTAATGCCCTTAATTTCCTCTGGGAAGTGACTTTAGTAATTGCTCAGCAGCTCTGTCTAATTTATGAGGCAGCCTGGTTTAGGGACAGTCTGAATACCCTGTTTTAGTGAATAGGCACACTGTAGGCAAGAAATTCCTTGTGAGGTTTACTCTTTCCTGGAAGTAAGCCAGACCTGATTCCCAGGGGACACAACAGGAGTTCTTGGAAAACTTGCCTGTCTTAGATGCTTCCCCAAGACAAGCAACCCACTAGTTCCCCTGACATGTCCTGTTGGCACCTATGGGACCATAACCTTTACCGATACATTTCTAAGTGATGCAAATGCTAACTCTCCACCTTGTCTTGTGATTCTCAGGAAACATCAGCTGAAAACAGAATAATGGAAAATTGTACAGACACAAATAACAGCTCCACTTGCACAGGAGTTCCCTACAAAGACAGCAAGACACTCCTGGTTGCTGTTTACAGCATCGTTTTTGCCATAGGCCTTCCGGCAAATTGCTTAACTTCCCTGCTTACGTTTGTACAAATCCAAAGGAATAAAGTAATCGCCATCTACATTTTCAGTTTATCGTTGTGTGAGCTGATGTATTTAAGTACCTTGCCTCTCTGGATTATCTACGTGCAAAATGAGCACCAGTGGAAGATGGGTGTAAAGGCTTGCAGAGTAACAGGATTCATCTTTTTCTGCAACATCTACATCAGCATTCTGCTTTTGTGCTGCATTTCTGTGGATCGTTATGTGGCACTGGTGTATGCTCTGGAGTCAAGGGGGAGAAGAGGACAGAAAAAGGCAATCATAATAGTGTGTTTCCTCTTTGCTGTGGTTGCAATAATCCACATTCCAGTATTTTACATGGAAGATAATCCACAAGATATGGATAACAAGACTTGCTTTGAGACTTTGCCCCTTGACATAAAATTGGCTTCTTTTAGCTTTGCCAGATTCCTATTTGGATTTGCCATACCTTTCACAGTCCTCATTTTCACAAACTACAAAATTTTCCAAAGCACAAAAACAAGCAGCAGCTTGACTTGTCACCAAAAAGCCAAAGTGAAGTATCTGGCTATTGCCATTATTGTCATTTTCCTGATCTGCTTTGCTCCCTACCATGTGGTACTCTTAATAAGATCCATATACTTTATGTTTCATCAGAATTGCTCATGTCCATTTGAAAAAGATATATATTCAATTTTTACGGTGTTTCTGTGTTTAGCCACTGCAAACAGCGTTGCCGATCCAATCATCTACGTGCTGGTTAGTGAAAACGTCAGAAAAGATTTTTATAGGAGTCTGAGAAGATGGAGATTGAACTCATCCAGGCTGAATTCATCCATTAATCACAAGACTGACAGCTTAAAATTGAAAATGTCAAAAGAATCACAGGAAGGAGAGCTAAGAGAAGAAAACAAAGAGATACCAGATTCATCTGACATTCAAAAGACCTGTAATAGTGGCAAAGACCAAAAAGGTGGCAGCTAGTAGTTAGCTGCTGACACAAATAAGAAGTGCCCAACACCAGCTGCGGGCTGCAGAATGCAGCACACAAGTATTTACATGCTGATGTCCATGGGAAGTTTTGTCATAGTGCACGGGCCAGCAGCTCCTTGAGGATGCTACAGGAGTGATATTTCTTATTTCTGTTTGTCTCCTACAACAAATTCTGTCCACCAGTATCATTGGTGAAAATATTGCTTTGCTAAGGACATGTGGAATAAACTAAGTTATTTACTTTGACTCAAACTGAAATCTTAAAAACTGTGGGGTTTTTTTGGACTAGCTCTTTTCCTCATATGAATTCAGAACCACTTTTATCTTCAGAGCTGGACAAAAAAAACTTCCTTCTGAGGAGAACAATGTAGGACCCATTCTTATGGTTGAAATTTTTAGTTCTTGAGGAGGTACATGATCAGATTCTCATACACGTACTCTGTTGTTAACGTTTGTGGTTAACCAGTGGAAAATATTAAAAACAAGGAAGTCTTTCAACAAGAGCCTTGAAAATGTTCCTAATGCTTCAGTATGCAGCTTTATCTACCTTGCATGTTCTGGGGAGAATTAGATGGCAAACAGTGGCCTCATAAAGTACTTTTACTGTATTAGTCAAGATCTTGCGCTGTCCTGAAATTCTTAAAATGTACAGTTTTAATGCTTCACATTTTATAATTAGTAAATTGTACTTTTTTTGCAATTAAATCTGGAATGCACTGAAGGATATAGAAAATTTATACATTTCCAAGTGGTGTCAGGAACTGTTGTTATGCCACCACTGAATGTTTGTTGAACTTGTGTTTCATTTCTGCTCAAGCTAACACCTCCCTTTTGGTACTGATCCAGCTTTCAGTGTGTAGGAGCCCGTACAAGAATTAAGTGCCTTACTGACGAGGAAGGGCTGGCAGCCTGGAGAACGCAGCCCTTCTCCCCATAGATGGGAGCCCCCTGGGACACACTGGTGGTGCACACGTGAGACTACGCTGGGGCAGATTTCGTTGTTGCTGCTGCCGCTTTTGCTAAGAATAAATTATTGATGGTTGTTTCCTGTGCCTTCAAACTAGAAATTAAAAAATAATAATTACACAAATCTGGCAAGATTTATCTAAATGGCTGCTTCATATTTTTCTGTGATCAAAGTAAAACAGACAAAGATCATGAACCAGTTGGATGTTTAGTTGAGTATGAGTTTGTACAGTGTTTCACATCATTTTGTTTCTTCTGTAATGTTTTTAAAATGTTATTAATGTTCACATTTCTAAATTGAACTAACATTAGCCAATGTTAATGTAAATACAATACTTATGAATGTTTTAAAATTGTCTTAGGCATTTCTGTATATTATGCTTTATTCTTATACACTTTTGCAAAGAAGCATTGTGCCAAAATGGCATTTCTTCAAGTTATTGTATTTATGACATATTTAATATTTGTATTATTTAATGACTCCTCTGGCATCTACTTGTGAAATGCTTGTGTCCTCAAAAGTAGTTCACATAATACTGAATTGAATAGGAGATTGTTTCTTGGAAAAAGGTGAAATTCTGTTGTGATGCTAATTACCAAACTGTGGGTTTGTATTGTCATACTATTCCAGAGATCAAGCTCTCTAAGGTCTCGAGGACAGATCTGCAAAGTGCTGAATATCTGTAACTGTGCTGAAAATCAAACTTTCCATTACCAAAAAAACAACCAGCAGCAGGCATTGCTCGTAATAGCCCCAGCCAGAGCAGTGCTGATTAATCTCTGAAGACCCATATGCAAACTGCCCCAACCTCAGAATTTTCATAGTCTAAACATAAAACTCTGATGAATAATAGCAGTGAATTTAGAAGAAACCAAAGATACAGACTTCTGAACTGATTGGAATGGATGCAAATTAGATATTCACCTTGATGAATTTTGAAATCTCTCTGATGTTGTTCCTCTGATAAAACATGTCTTAAGAGCAAGCAACATTGGAGCCCAGTGCTGTAGGTGCAGGGGACAGGGATGATGCAACATCTGT